CAGAGGAGGAAATGAGTGATCAAAAGACAGTTCCTAAGAATATAACATCATAATCTTCTTCCTCCTACCCTAACTCCTTCTCCCATCCCCCTTCTGGAGACATCTCACTGTGTAGCCCTGACTGTCCTGGAACTCACTATATAGACCAGGCTGGCCTGGCAACAATTATTCTGGAGAGTTGAGATGGATGACGAACTTCAGTGTTTGAGAAGATGATTATGGTAATGGTTGCTTTGGATTATTTGTGGTACTTGGACCCAATTTTATTCATACTGGGCAGAATTCTATTAGTATCTGATACAAGCAAGTAGGTGCATGTCTTTCTGCAGTTAAAAAGACACATAAATATACATGGGTCCTTTAAAAGAACAGGTTAAGGACACAAGATTAAGGCTGCAGAGATGGCTCAGCTGTGACTGTTCTTCTAGAGGTCCTGAGTTCAATTCCCAGCACCCACAGCGTGTCTCACAGCCATCTATAATGAGATCTGGTGCCCTCTTTTGGCATTCAGGCATACAGACCAAAAAAAAAAAAAAAAAAAAAAAAAAAAAGATTATGCTTTTCTATACAAATGCTTATGAACATCAGAACACTAAGTGCTAAAATAGAAAGGCATTATATTGTCCTATGCAGAAAATATTTCTTCCTTGTGTATGATTAACATCTTTCTTCCATGTACTTGGCATCTATTTTGATCAGAAGAGGATCATTCAACTTAGTCAAATTACTGTTCTGCTCATTTATGCCCAATTCCTATGTCCCTATAGTATACACTCTTTCCTGGAATGCCTCTGCGGAAGGAGAAAACAGTGCTTAGAGATTCTTTGGAGAGGTCTAGTTGGAAAAACTCAAATGTGTCTCCAGTAGAAATTTAACTTGGGTACTTGAGTTGACAGGATCCTGAATTATGTGTTGCTGGTAGGTTATGACGGGGTGGTAGACTGCCAGGGTTTTCATCTTGGCCTGGCTACTAGCCAAGCTATAAGACCACAACTTTCTGAACCTGGCTTTCCTTGTTTATCAGATGGGGACAATTATAGCTCCCACTTTATACAGTTGTGTTGATTAAGTGAGCTAAAACTCAACACAGAGAACAATGGCATGGTTATAGTGAGCAATAAGCAGAAACTGTTATTAATGTTGAGATCCAGAAGGCTGTTTGATTAAAGCCTTTGTTCTTAATCTTTGTATTTCTGGTGTTGGGGCTTACTGTATAGTACAGAAGTACTCCATCAAGGAGCCACACCCCATCCGAGAATTAAAGCCTGGAAAAAAAAAAAACCCTAAATTATCTTTTTTGGGGGGTGTCACTATGTAGTCTACTTGGTTCTAGGATTACACTTGGGGATACCATCTCACTGGGCTTCACATTACTTCTTTTCTCCATGTTACTTAATAGATGTGTAACAGAAATAGGAATAACAAGGTCTTACTATATAGCAGTGGCTGTCCTAGAACTCCTTATGTAGACCAGGCTAGCCTTAAACTCAAGAGATCTGCCTGCCTCTGCCTCCTGAGTGTTGGGATTAAAGGGTGCCAACACACCTAGCTAAAGGTCTTCAATTTTTTTCTTTTAACTTTTCTTCTGAAAGGAATTCCCTTTCCCAAACCAATCAGAACCGAGCCCACTGCTGGATGATCAGAATGAGCTCTGCTCTGATACAAGGCCTCCGTTTCTGTCAACTTTTCATAAGACTTCCATGTATTTTATTTTACTTTTTAGTTCTATCATTAAAATAATAGACTTTATGGAAGACAAGGTGTGACAAACTGCCATTTACCTTTTAAAACTTTGACGTATGACAACATTTTGAGATATTAGGCAGAGTTTCTTTTTTACGACAATCCAAAGAAACATCTTTCTGTCAGTCTACATCCTCTTGCAGTTTCAATCCATTAGGATAGCTTCTATTTTCTATTTAAAAAAATGCTGAGAAAGCATATCCAATGTGCACTTCAGAAACTGGTGAGTCACTTGCAACAAAAGCTGCTGGGGGTTATGTCTACCAACACAGGTACATCCAAATAGTGCACTACAAAATAATCTTTTTTTTTTAAAGGACTCAATATCCCCATGTAGCTCAGGCTGCCCTGGAACTCAAGGCTCTCTTGCCTCTGCCTCCTCAGTGCTGGGGTTACAAGCTATACTACCATACCCAGTGGAATGATTATTTTTGTAAAATACTCAAATGGCCTTAGTTGTCTGAAAATACAGGCATTCACATACTAATTGTAAGACACAAAACAGTCTTATATTTTTCCAAATTGCCTTATCACTGAATATTACTTTAAGATTTTGTGAGCACATCTTTGTACCTAGCCCAGAACCCTTTACATTACCAAGTAGCTGTGATGGTGAAGGCTTCTAATTACAGCACTCAGGAAATTGAGGCAGAGATACAATTAGTTTAAGGTCACCCTAGGCTCCATGAGACATCATTTCACTTTAAAAAAAAAAAAAAAAAAAAAGTATGGGTTGGTAGTGGCCCTCAGGGAGGCAGAGGCAGGCAGATCTCTGTGAGTTCAAGGCCAGCCTGGTCTACAGAGTTGAGTTTCAGGACAATCACAGCTACACAGAGAAATTGTCTCAAATAAATAAATAAATAAATAAATAAATAAATAAATAAATGAAATTAGTAGCAATAATGTGAATTCTACTATTTTTTTTTTTTAATTTTATGGGGAGACCCACAATGTGTACAAGGTAAAGTGGCATGTGTGAGAATTTGTTACAGGCTAGACAAGGGGTGTTCAAGAGGCATTTCTATGCAACAGTATAGGTGACATTCAACCTTTGATGTATAGGCTGAAGAGAGCCAAGCTCAAAGAACACCTAAGATAACATACAGTTTTGTTTGTGTGAACTTCCCAAAATTAGACGGGTGATTTCCAAATAGTATGTATTTCCTAAACCTAAATTAGAACATTAACAAAAAGCCCTCAAGCGACCCTTTTCACCTTTACTTGCTTAAAAATAATTCCTGGGTAAGATTTACATTCTTGGTTAGAAGCAAAGCAATGTTTAGAGAGGTTTTGACATGTAATACTTAGAAGGCAGCTAACAAAAAAATTGCCTGCAAGCACACCTAAACCTAACTACATTCATGAAATGTGGTTTTAGTTAAAAAAAAAAAAAAAAAAAAAAAAAAAAAAAAGGGAATTTCAGCTGAACCTTCTGTTTTTCTAGCCCTAAAAGGCATTCTTCAGTAAATTCCTTTAAATTCCAGTTAAGACCAAGCCCTGGCCTTTTACCTCAGGGCCTCCACACTAAGGACACAAAGAAAAATGAATGGCTGGGGGGAGCTCCACCTGTTGGTTAGCTGGATGGCCTGGCGGCCTGCCCCCACCTCTGCCCCTAACCCCAGGTACCCAGAGGGACAGAAAGGACCACTCCTTCAAACAGCCGTACCCTTAAGGGGCTCGCACGATTCCCAGCAAACAGCTGTAACATCTGCTAGCAGCCTCGCCCCTGCCCGTCGAAAGGCTAGGGACCGCGTGGCACCGCCACCGCTCTGCACAAAAGGTAGCACTGGCGTGGGGTCACAGCCAGCTCTGGGGGATCCGGGCCTGGGCATCCCCGGAGACGGGGAAGGGCGATGCGGGTCGAGGGGGAGCCCAGGTGCGGCTAGAGGGATGATGCTGAGGAGGAGGATGAGGATAGGGCCCCGCCACACGCCGAGGAAGAAAGCCTGACTCATGTCGTGGCAGCAGCCGAGGGCTCCTGGGAACTGCAACTCGTGATGCTGTTGCCGAGGAGAAAAGCCTCATTAGCCATTCGGCAGGCCGGGGGATACCGCCCCGGGGCGCGCTCCCCACCAGCCTCGCCCTCCCGGGTCCGCGTGGGAGCCAGCGGCGGACACGCCCAGCCTGCGCGCGCGCCGCGTGGCCCCCACGCCCCACCCCAGGCTCCCCACGCGACCCGGATTCGCTCGCGCGCCCAAGTGCCCCACCCCCACCGCCCTCAGGCGTCGGCGGCTCCGCCGGCCTTCGGCAATTTCCGTAGAGACGGAGCCGCGAGCTCGGCGCAGCCCGAAGACAGGCCGCCTCCCCTAGTCAGACCCGGCTTTATGTCTGCAGCGCCGGCGCGCACGCGCAGACGCCATCTTCCCTCCTCTCCTCCGCGACCCCTCCCCCCCGCCGCCGCCGCCGCCTCCTCCTCCTCCTTCCACTCGGTCGGCGCTCGACCCTCCTCCTTTCGCGTTGGGGCGCTGGTCCCTCCTCTCTTGATGCCGCGAGAGACCCGGGGATCCAGAGCAGCCCGAGAAGAGCACTAGTAACAACCACCACAGCCCCCTCCTCGCCCGACGCCCTCCCACTCCCCCGCCCCGCGCCGCCACCGACCAACCCCACCTCTCATTTCTTTGAACGGCGTCGGCTGCAGTCGCTGCACCAGCCCCGTCTGGCCGCCACCGCCACCGCCACCGCGAAAGGAGCCGCCGCCGCCCGCGGCCCCCTCCCTCCCGGCCGCGGGAGCAGCACCGTGCCGAGGCAGCCGGCGGGCAGAGAAGAGGACGCGAGCTCGCCCCTCCGCTCCCGCGCACGTCCCGCCCGCCGCCCGCCGGAGCAGCCCCGGGCGCCGGCGCCCTCTTCCTCCCCGAGGACGTGTGCCGAGCCGAGCGCCTGCCCCGAGGGAGGAAAATGCTCGGGCTCCATGGCTGCCAGTGATGGAGCGGTCCCTGGGCTCCCGCCGCCGCCGCCACCACCGCCGCCGCCGCCGCGCCCCGGCCGCGCTCCGCGAGGACCCGGCGTCTCTGCGCGCCCGCCCGCGCCTCGTTGCTGGGCTCACCGTACCGGGCGCCCCTCCGCCGCCGCCGCCGCCGCCTCCCCGCTCGCAGCCGCGCCGCCCGGGTCCCAGCCGCGGCCAGTCTTTCCTCTCGGAGCAGCCGTCGCGAGCCCAGGGGGTTTGAGAGGGGCCGCGGGCCGCGGGGGGAGGCCCGAGCGGGGCCGGCCGCGCCGGCAGGGGAGGTTGGAGCGACGCTGAGCTCGGGGCTCGCCGGCGGCCGCGGCGCCGGGGGTGGCGAGGGCCGGGCGACCGCTCGCTCCGCGCTGCCTCGGTGCAGGGCGAGCGGCGGGGCTTTGCAGTGGCCGCCGCCGCGGGAGGAGGGGGCTGAGCTGGCTCCGGAGTTGGCCAAAGAAGGTGGGCATTTCTCGCTTCTCCTCGCCTCCCCGCCCCCTCCTGGGCTCCCCTCCCTCCCGCCCCGCACCCCACGTGAAGCGGAATATAAAGGGGGGTGTGTGACTGGAGGGGAAAGTGAATGGCGAAGGACTGAAGGGGTCCCCCTTCGGTTCCCCAGCCACCTGGTTCACCCGGTTCATCCTCCCTTCTCGAAGCTAGCCCTCGAAGGCAGGAGCAGCCGGTGCCTTCGGCAGAGGAGGAGGAGGAAGAATCGCGTCGGGCGGAGCTTCAGGTCCTGTTCTCTCCGGCTTCTCCATACAAAGATTACGGTGCAGAAGGAAATTGCACTCGCCTCCTCCGCCCCCCGGTACCCAGCACAATGCACCAGCCGCCGGACTCCGCTGCCGCGGCGGCCGCCGCTGCAGACATTAGTGCTAGGAAGATGGCGCACCCGGCAATGTTCCCTCGAAGGGGCAGTGGTGGTGGCAGCGCCTCTGCTCTCAATGCAGCAGGTACCGGCGTCAGTAGTGCTGCTCCATCTTCTGAGGATTTTCCTCCTCCTTCGCTGCTCCAGCCGCCGCCTCCTGCTGCATCTTCCACACAGGGACCACAGCCTCCGCCTCCACAAAGCCTGAACCTCCTCTCGCAGGCTCAGCTGCAGGCACAGCCTCTTGCGCCGGGCGGAACTCAGATGAAAAAGAAAAGTGGCTTCCAGATAACTAGCGTTACTCCTGCTCAGATCTCTGCCAGCATCAGCTCTAACAACAGCATTGCAGAGGACACCGAGAGCTACGATGATCTGGATGAGTCCCACACGGAAGACCTGTCTTCTTCCGAGATCCTTGATGTGTCACTTTCCAGGGCCACTGACTTGGGTGAGCCTGAACGCAGCTCCTCAGAAGAGACTCTGAATAACTTCCAGGAAGCTGAGACACCCGGGGCAGTCTCTCCTAACCAGCCCCATCTTCCTCAGTCTCATTTGCCTCACCTCCCACAACAGAACGTTGTGATCAATGGGAATGCTCATCCACACCACCTCCATCACCATCATCACCTTCAACATGGGCACCACCTTCACCATGGACACCACCATTCATCCCATGCTGCTGTGGCCAGTCCGCCCATCCCTGGAGGCCCACCCTCGAGCCCAGTGTCCAGAAAACTCTGTACAACTGGAAGTTCCGATGGTGGTTTGCCAGTTGCACCCACTTCTGCTGTATCATCGAGTGGCTTGCCTGCATCTGTGATGACTAACATCCGTGCTCCAAGTACTCCAGGCAGCATAGGTATAAATTCGGTTACTGGCGCGAATGCAACGAGTAATGTTAACATTGCTGCTGTGGGTAGTTTCAGTCCTAATGTGGCAAGCAGCGTGCATGGTAACGCTAATACAAGTGCAAGCAACATTCCTAATGCTGCTAGTGTAAGTGTTGGGCCCGGAGTTACCAGTGGTGTTAATGTGAATGTCTTGAGTGGCATGGGCAATGGTACGGTTTCTTCCTCTCCTGTTGCTAACAGTGTCCTTAATGCAGCTGCAGGTATCACTGTGGGAGTGGTTTCAAGTCAGCAGCCACAGCAGCAGCAGCAGCAACCAACAGTTAACACGTCCAGGTTCAGAGTTGTGAAGTTAGACTCTACTTCTGAGCCCTTTAAAAAAGGTAGATGGACTTGCACTGAGTTCTATGAGAAAGAAAGTGCCCTGCCGGCTACAGAAGGCGTGGCGATAAATAAAGTGGTGGAGAGTGTGAAACAGCCCCCCACGGAGGTGTCTTCGGAGAGGGAGAGCACTAGTGGGAGTTCAGTGAGCAGTAGCGTCAGCACACTGAGCCACTACACAGAGAGTGTGGGAAGTGGAGAGATGGGAGCCCCTGCTGTGGTGGTGCAGCAGCAGCCGCAGCCACCACCGCCACCACCAGCTCTTCAAGGTGTGACCCTCCAGCAGATAGATTTCAGTAGCCCTGGTCCACAGAGTATTGCAGCAGTTAGTATACCACAGAGTATTTCCCAGTCACAGATGTCACAAGTCCAAATACAGCCTCAAGAATTGAGCTTTCAGCAGAAGCCGGGTCTTCAACCTGTCCCTCTGCAGGCCACCATGGGCGCAGCCGCCAGCATCCAGCCTTCCCCCGTCAACGTGGTTGGTGTAACGTCAGCAGTAGGTCAACAGCCTTCCATTTCCAGTTTGGCTCAACCCCAGCTGCCGTATTCTCAGACAGCTCCTCCTGTGCAAACTCCTCTTCCAGGGGCACCACCCCAGCAGTTACAGTATGGGCAACAGCAGCCAGTGGTTTCTACACAGATAGCTCCAGGCCATGGCCAGTCGATGACTCAAAATCCTACTTCAGAGTATGTACAGCAGCAGCCAATTCTTCAAGCAGCAGCGATGCCCTCTGGACAGTCCAGTTCTGCAGGAGCAGGAACGTCAGTGATCCCCGTGGTCCAGCCGCAGGGGATCCAGCTGCCAGTGCAGCCCACAGCAGTACAAGCACAACCTGCAGCGGCGTCTGGGCAGCCCATTGGCCAGGCTCAAACAGCAGTGTCTGCTGTACCAACTGGCAGTCAAATTGCAAATATCGCTCAACAAGCAAACGTGCCCTCTGCAGTCCAGCAGCCATCTACCCAAGTTACACCTTCAGTTATCCAGCAAGGTGCTCCTCCATCTTCACAAGTAGTTCTACCTGCTCCAACTGGGATTATTCATCAGGGAGTTCAAACTAGTGCTTCAAGCCTTCCTCAACAATTGGTTATCGCACCCCAGAGTACCTTGTTAACTGTGCCTCCCCAGCCGCAGGGAGTAGAGACAGTGGTTCAAGGAGTTGTTTCCCAGCAGTTGCCCACAGGTAGTCCTTTGCCCTCTGCTAGTAGTATTTCTGTTACAAGTCAGGTTAGTTCAGCCGGTCCTTCTGGAATGCCTTCTGCCCCACCAAACTTAGTTCCACAACAGAATATAGCACAACCCCCGGCTACCCAAAATGGCAGTTTGGTTCAAAGTGTTAGTCAATCTCCCTTGCTAGCCACTAACATAAATTTGCCTTTGGCACAGCAGATACCACTAAGTTCTACTCAGTTCTCTACACAATCATTAGCTCAGGCAATTGGAAGCCAAATGGAAGACCCCAGGCGCCCAGCGGAGCCCTCCGTAGTCGGCTTACCTCAGACTATCAGTGGTGACAGTGGGGGAATGTCAGCGGTTTCAGATGGGAGTAGCAGCAGCCTAGCAGCCTCTGCTTCTCTCTTCCCGTTGAAGGTGCTACCGTTGACAACACCCCTGGTGGATGGCGAGGACGAGAGGTAAGATCGTGTGCTTCTGTGGACACTGAGCAGTCCAGGCAGTCACTTTAGTGGGCATGTGTGTGGGCACAGTTAAGTCTGAAGCATCCTAGCTTTTCGTTTGCATGTGAAAAGTGCATATTCATGGTAAGTTTTCCAGAGTAAGAGTGTTAATGACTTCGGAGTGGGTGGGAAGTAGAATAGGTTATAAAAATAATGTTCACGATAGTTCCAAAGTGCAAACATATATAACAGATAGGCTCTGGGCTGCCAGGTAGATTTTTCTCTTAAAATGCCTCTGAGAAGAAGGTAGATAATTTATGAAAAGCAGCTTATATTTTGTTACCCCACGAAATAGTTAAGCTATTCTTCTGAGCTACTAAAATCTTTGTAGATCATTTCTTGTCGGGGGTTGTGGTTCCCACGTTTGTTCCTGCCATACAGCCCTTTTCTGTTCTAGTAGGGCTTCATCTTAGGCTGTGGAAGATACTGTTACCTGCTTGTCCTCCCAGGGCACTGTGGGAAAGATGACCTAATCTGGTTGATATAGGTTGTCCTCACACTCTTAGTGACCAGCTTTTGTAAACTTAATTTAATGGTTACTTTACCCGAACAAAAGTCTTTTAAGGCATGTTTTTCAAGGTCAGAAATATCTAGATTTATCCTTGGTAGTGAGTGATGCTGTACAGTTTTTCTTTTGATAGTAGATGAAGGTGGTAGCCATTTTAAAGAGTGAAATCAGTCTTAAAGGGCTGATTTTAACAGGCTAATCTGCCCCACCTGTTTGTACTCTCACCCAAACACAGGTAAAAGTTATGTCAGTATTAAGCCAGCATTTTTCTTCCCACTTACAGTAATCACACTTAGTGAGTGAGGCTGCCTAGAAAAGCTGTGAACTCAGTGTTTCTACATTGCTTTAATATTAGTTTTTTTTTTTAAAGGAATATTCCTTTTTTTTGCAAGTTTGCAATGTTTACAGTGATAGAAGTGTAGTAGTTGTAAAAAGACTTCTTTTTCACTGTGGAATTTTGAAAAAGTAGTTAAAATAGTTAATTATTTTAGTATCTGTTGGAGATTTTTGACATTGAATTTTCACCATTCCAGTTGAAGCGTTTATATTCTATATGTGTATTTGTGGGTTTACTTTGGAAAAACTGAGAATGTTGCAAAATAATTTTATCGAAAGAAAAGAAGGCAAATGTTTCAGTGAAAATTTCATGATTTTATTCTAAGTCATTTAAAAAGATGTAAAGGTTATGATATTGAAACAGGTGAAAATACTTTCTCAGTTTATTTTTGGTAGTCATGTACTTAAATTTTGTTACTAAGCGTAGTTCTTATCCTTATACAAAACTATTTTACAAGATAGATTTCTAATTCAGCTTCTAATTTTATCTTTATCATTTTGTTCCTCACCTGTAATTTCAATTTAAGGAATTATTTACCCTAACTTCTGTTTCCTGATCAAAAGGGTATGAACCGAATGAAGTTCTGTCAAAATAGTATAATATAGATGCTAACTTAAGGGCAGTGTAAGACAGGTGACAGAGAGAAATGAAAACCACACACTGATTACAAACCTGTGAAGGTTTTCTTAATTACAGTTGAGGGCTCCTGGGAGGACTTTGTTTTCTTCTTCCTGGTAGGTAGGATGGCAGTCCTTTCAAAGACTAGCTGTCACACTAGTTTTTATGTGTAGCCTGAGTCCCAGTTTGAGATATTGCAGAACCACTTTCCATTTAGACAAGAGAGTAGCTGAGATAGAGGTAGGTTAGATGCCTGTGGTGGAGAGTTATGTTCTGGGAAAGCACAAGAATGAATACAGTAAATTTGTGTTCTTTGACATCACAGTTAAGTCATCAAAACTGGACACACCTTTCTCCTTCAAGTTCACTGAGGGCTAAGTCAGCCGATACGGCACATGCAAGACCAACCAGTGAGGTCTATTTCAATTGTGTTTTATGGCAGATTATATTATTATCTCAATGTAGTTTGGTTCAGGAAAACCATTGAGATTTGCCCTTGGGAGATAAATAGGGAAAAACCTATGAGAGAAAAGGATAAGCACCACTGTTTTACCCTTCCTCCATGCTAGTCTCTGTCGCTTTCGTCTTCCAGACTTTGTCACCATAGATCTGATCTCCTTTGGAAGAAAGGGTTGTGTCCTCATTTAATTTTATGACCCACGAAGTATGTTAGCAGAAATTTTTGGTGGCAGAAGATACCATAGTACAATAGGACTGTAGCTCTTTAGATGTAAATGCTTGCTTAGTATACATCAAAAGTGCTTTTAGTTGCCCACTTGTCACCTGTAAAACTTGGAGGCCATAAACATTACAAATAAGGATCAAGGTATTGAGATTATGTGACTTACAGTTTTAAAGATCATTTCATTATTAAGAAATCGATGTCTCAGCCTTTAATGTGAACTTGAACCTTTATAGGAATGGGACGATACAGTTATCTTACTCTAATGTTTTGTGCTTAGTAGCAAAGTATTACGTGAAATTCCATTCTCTTGTTTCTAGGCAAAGCTCAGATGTTCCCTCTGAAAGATTTTTCTTCCCCAGGGGGTGTTTCCTTAGCACATTTACTGTCCCTCTATTTGTACTGTGTATTTGGTGATAATTATGTTTACCAGTCTTTCCCACTAGGGGAGGAACTTAAGTTGTTTTTTGTTTTGTTTTTTTTTTTTTTTTAAACAAACTTATTGGACAGATCTTCTTGTTTTTCCTATCATGATACAATTCATTCTGTCATCTTAAGCACACTGTTAGAGATGCAGGTGCTAGAATTCATCTAACAAATTCAAATGAGCAGTGTGACTTTGCTAGCTTCCTTCTCCTTAAGGTGACATGGCATTAACCTTCTAATGAGTGTTTGTTCTGTGTTACACAGGAATGAGTGTGTTCTGTTTTCATGATTATTTTTGTGTGTTGCATGTGTGCATGTGAATATGGAAGTCAGGTCAGCTCCAGGTCTCTCCGCCTCAATTGTGTCCACCTCATTTTTCGTGACAGGGTCTCTCACTGAGCTGAAGCTCACTCTGTTGGCTGGACTGGCTAGCCAGTGAGCTTCAGGGCTACACCTGCTTCCACTTGCCCAGGCCTGAGAACGTAGAGCCTGTGCCTCTGCCCCAGGCTTTTATGTGGGTTCCGGGATCCATGCTCAGGTTCATGGGCTGTGTATCTGTAGCAAGCACCCCACAGAATGAGTCATCTCCCCAGCCTGGAAATGAGTGTCCTCCTACAAAAAAAGGGAACAATACTTGTTTTACTTATCTACTGACAATGGTAGGACGTATTGGTTAAAATAATGCAAGATACCAAATGCCCTTTAAAAGGTTTTTGTTTTGAGACAGGGTCTTGCTCTGTAGCCTTGACTGGCCTTGAACTCAACAGACTTCAGCCTGCTTCTGCCTTGTGAGTCCTGGGGCTAGAGGTGTGCACCATCACACCTAACCTAAAGTATTTATTTTTTACAGGATCAAAGAGTATACTTGGTGCCTTCTTCCTTCCCAGGCTTCCTTTCTTGAACCTCCTCTAATCTGTTGTAGGTGATTCCTCTTTGACACACCAGGCTTTCTACTGGACAGGCAACAACTCAGCCTGTCTTTTCTGTCCCCTCCTTTCATGTAACTTTGGGCTTTTTAATTTGCTTATGCCTCAACTTCCTCATTTGAAAACAGTGAAGGCAATAGCATTTCTCACAGAGTTGTTATATAAACTAAGTGAACTTAGAAAACTCCCAGAACTTAACTCACTGTGCACCTAAGTTTATTAATAAAACAATCCTCACTTTGTTTTTGCTTGTGTTTTTAAATTTCTTGGATGAACTGAATCTGCCCTGCTGGTCACTCTTTAATCATTGTAAAATAATATTCCTTTCTTCGTCCACCACAGTACCATACCCTTGCTCCCCTCTCAGTCCCCAGCTATTAATATATTGAAAGAGGTGGGTCCTGCTCTCAGAATTCCTTTATCTGCTCACTCTCTCTTCTCCAGGTTACCTCTGCTGGTCCCCACCTTGATGGAGTCCTTCCTCAGCTCTCTGGTGATTTCCAGGTTCTGCTTGTACTTCAGTGCAAGCAGACTAGAGAGCCACTTAGATCATTGGAGTTCCACTTAGTGGGGAACTTGGCTTGGGGTGAGGTGGCTGGAGTTTATTGTCCCCAGCACACCCTATATTATGGTTCCTCTTTTATCACTAATTTTCTGTATCACCTGCCTCTTAGCATCACCTCAGGATATTAATAAGATTAATTAATTTCTGAGGAAGCCTAGTATCACTCTGGCCTCTATTCTGGGCAGTCGCCTAGACTTGCTGCTCATCGGTTACTCTAGGACCCCCCTTCACTTCCCCTAGTGGTACATCTTCATTTTCCACAGCCAGTGTTGACTTCGTTCTTGATTTACTTGCTATGTTTAAATGGTGTCCGCTTACCTTTACACTCAGTTGATTCTTTGATAGGTTGTAAATTGGGTTCTCTTGCAACTCTACTGAGACACCACTTCCTAGCTTCCATATTGCCTTTGAGAATCCTGTAGATATTTGGGTTTCTTAAGCTGTATTGATTTGTATTTGCTTTCCTCCTCTCTCTGTCATTTTAAAAATCCATTAAAGCTTTTAAGACTTGCTTCTATTGTTTCAAATTTTACATGGATTTCATGTGTGTGTGGTTGGGAGAGAAATGGGGTGGAATCTGCTTTTATTCATGAGCTTTTGGTGTGTGTTGTTGCAGCTAGGAAAGTTTGTGATGGTGAGACTGAACTCAGGGCCTCATGTGGCCTTGGCAAACACTGTGCCAATGAGCTACATCCCAAACATTTTCCCCTCCTCCTCACACTTACTTGCATAATGGGCCTCCTTGACTGATCTGATTTCCTTGGTTTTCCTCTTTCTCCTTGTACTTTTTCTTACAATTTCCATGAGCTTTTTGTTGATCTTTGCTTCTTGTTAGCAGTGCATTGCCCCAGTTTAATAATAACAGTGCTTTCTCTTGGCTCTGCGAACACATTAGA